AAACCGCTCTCCTGCACTATTTCTCATCCTCCACACCCACCTTCGTCAGAATACCAGTGACTGGCTATCATATCAGCATTTATCAGTAAAAAGGGGAAAATACAGACCTGGGCCTTCATGGAAAGTATTTTCACTCTCACAACCAGAATCTCCTGCCTTCAAAAAAATTATTGTTTTAAGATCTTTAACTTTTCCTGCAGCGTCTTCATACCCAACTTTTTGAAAAGCATCTTTTCTGAGGAATGGTATTTCGTGGGACAATGTAACATCGTCTTTGCCAAGTGACTCAGTTTGAGATATATATATACACACAAATATTTTTTCAATGTCAAGTGGCCCAAATTTACAGAGAAAAAGTGGGCATTGGTATCAGTTTGATGTCAGGGATTTTCCATGTTTGCAGGGCACCTTTAAATACAACTTGATTTGAAGGCATTTGAAGGCCAAGCTCCAGCCCCTTGTCAAGATGCTCCTGGCCGTGGTCCTTGCCTCTGCCCTGCTCCTCTGCTCTGCGGCCAGCCAGAGTTGTTTGACCTTGACGGGGATCAAGGATGTCGAGTACCTCATCAACAACCTGCAGGTAAGCTGCAGACGGGGGCGCCAGCGGGAAAGGCAATTATTGAAAATTTAAGTGAAATATAAGAGGATGAAAAATGCACCACCCACCATGGGTTCTTGTTTCTCCACTTACTTTTTTAGAAACATCCACCTTCAAAATGCAGCTGCAGCACCAATGTGAGTAAATGCTCTTCTAAGATCTTTTCAAACTAATTTTAGTTTTCACATCTGGAGTCTTCACTCTGACATTTTTCTTTCACAGGTGACTGACTGTTTGTGTCTGCCCATTCCTTCTGTAAGTATAGTAAAAGAAAATAATCTTGATCATGTTTTTTTAAAGCCTTTAAGTCAAAATTAATTGTTCTATATGATATCTGAAATAAGAAACTGTTACTTAGTTATAATTGTTACAGATTAGCAACAGTTTTAAAAACCTTTCAAAACCTTGAAATTCTATGCTATTGATATATACATTTCTTTGCATTTAGTCTCCTTGGGAAGTCTGAACACTTTTCGATACTTAAAAAAGAATCTTGAATGTGTTTTTAGATTAGTGGCCATGTGCACAATTAAATCAAACTGGGACTGAGAATATAACAAATGATATAGTTCAAATCACAGTTTTCTAATCCATTTGCTGGTATCTCTGGGGTTGCACAACAATGTAAGTAAAATGACGTCCTTTTGTCCTTCCACTGGCCTAAACTCTCCATACTTTGCCTTCTCCCTCCCTCCCTCCCTCCCTCCCTCCCTATCCTTCTCTTTAGCTGATTTAGAGCAGCTATTGCAAGGTTTGAAGCCTGCCTTCCAGGAGGATAGGGTGTCTGAGATTGTGGGTGGAGGGAAAGTGAAAAGCGTTTCCAGGGAGTCATTCCCCACTTTGGCAGAGAGGAAGCATGGCAGGAATTTCCTGGTTAAGGTGAGGGAGCAGCACCTACCCAAGGTGCTGTTGTGCTTGACTCTCTCACAAGCCAGGCCTGGGAGAACCTGAGCTTTTTACCACAGTTGAGGTTAGGTGTCACTCCCTATCACAGTCCATCTATTAGATGAGAAGAGCATATTATGCCTTCTGAGGAGGAACCACACATTTATGGCCCAGCCCATCCCCTCAGTTTTTAATCCTTGGTTTTAGCTACTGCTGAAACAATGGCAGTATTCAACTGGCATATCCCATCAGGCTGGTGTGAAAAGGCTCTTCCTTTCTCTGTACTTTCAAACTCACTATGACAAGACTTGGAACAAGGAAGCATCCTTTGAAAAGTAGACTCAGCACTGGCTGTTTCCTGGGTTCCACAGGCCTCATGTTCCCTGGGGCGCAACATACTGGAAATCTTCAGGGAGTGTCACTGTGGGAAAAGGGCCTTACCTTGAAATATTGAAGATCATTTCCTAGCCTGGCAAGGGACCTGTCTAAAAAACAATGCAAGTTTAGATGACATTGGTTAAATTAAAATAGCCTCTAAAAGCATTTTCTTTGTGATTCCTACTCAAAGCTGTCCTCTGAGTGTTTCTTTTCCTAAATCCTTGTTATTTACCAGGACAACTGCACCTCAGCATGCTTACAGGAGGGTCTGTCGCAGATGACCAACACCATAGTGAAAACAAGTTTCCCGCTGATTTTCAATCGGGTGAAGAAAACAGTTGAAGCCCTCCAGAACAAGAAGTGTGGAGTGAGTGTGTTTTTATCTGTGATGTGCTCTGGTTAGTTATTTTTGTGTGAATGTCAATGCCAACTCCATCTGAATGAGAAAGGGTGATAAAGTTGGAACTGGTAGTTCAAGGTTGATTAGGGACATGTAAGAAATTTAATCAGAGCAAAAGAATTAAAGTGAGATCTGCCTGGATGGCTCATTGTTCCCTCTCACTTTCAAAAACACTCACCCCTGTGTTGGCTTTTACTTCTCTCCACCTCTTGAATAATGAAAGAATCTAGCCTGATTGTAATTAGAAGCTAAAATCTAGAGAATCAGGGCTATAGGCCATACAGTTCTAAATAATCTTAGAGATTCAGTTTGCCGAGTGGATATTCTGGCCTGTAAGTTAAAGTTTTCTTTCCATTGGCCAAGGAGGTGTTTAAAGGAAGACACATCCACATCCAGGTGGAAGCTTGTCATCTGCCCTAAATGTCCATCAGCGCGTCCTCTTCTTGAGCATACACGCTGGTCGCTAGAGGAGAGGGGAGGGAGTGAACTTTTTTTATTACCGTCACCATGTGAGGGCCCCTCCTCACTCAGCTACTGAACTGCGGGGGTTTCTGCCATCAACAGCATGCAGTTCTAAATGCTTAATATATACTGTTTCATTGAATACCTACTTTAATGACAACTGTCAGATTTACCACCCTCACACTGTAGAGTCGGAAACTGAGGCTCAGTGAGGTTAACTGATTCGCCCAAGGCTGCATAGTTAATAAGTGGCAGTGCTGAGATTTGAACTCTGGTCTATGGGACTCCTAAATCCCGTTCTTAGTCATTGTGCTATAAAATGACCTTGGAAGGACAGCCAAGAAGGACAATAACAAAATTTTAAGCCTCAAAGCATCCCAAGAAGGTTTCCTCTAATGAGGAGATTTAGAGATTTAGGGCCACTTGATGTGTGTGTGTCTGTGTGTGTGTAGCAAGCAGACCCCTGAAATCCTACTTCAAAGTCAACCACCTATGCCGCCTACACAAAATGTTAGCAAGTCCCCATCCATTTGCTCCATGCCTCAAGCCCCCCACTGCCAGCACACCCCCACCCCCACTGACCATCCCCCCCGTCCACTCACCAGGCTCTGGGCAGGGTGGTTCCTGGGGCTGCTGGGTTCCAATACTGTTTTAGTCACTCTGCCTTTGTCAACTTTTATCCCAACAGTCTTTTTCCTGTGAACAGCCATGCAACCAAACCACAGCAGGCAATACGCTGACATTTCTGAAGACTCTCCTGGAAAGTTTCCAGAAAGAAAGGATGAGAGGCAGAGTGTGAAGCTGAAATGTTATTTATTCTATTTATTGAATTTAGAAAGCCTCCTCTTTAAGTTGTTGCAATTAAAAAATCAAATAAGGCATATGCTAAGTCAAAATCAGTTTTAATAGTTCGTTTAAAATTTTATATCTTTATTTTGGAATAAACAGATCTTGGGAAAAAACTCAAGTCTGGTCTCTAGGTGCTTATTTGTTCCTTGATGCTCAGAACAAAGAAAGCTACAAGTCTGTCAATGGGGCTGATGAGTCAAATACTCCTGTAATAACAGTAAGACTCGTTATCCTCAACACAGACTTGAAGCCTCGTGGACCGTGTCTGGGCTGTTAGGAACAGGGCCGCACAGCAGGAAGAAAGCGGCAAGTGAGCAAAGCTTCATCTGCCGCTCCCCATGGCTCACATTACTGCCTGAACCATCCCCCAGCCCCCCCACACACACCCCCACCTGTGGGGAAATTGTCTATCACAAAACTGGTCCCTGGTGCAGAAAAGGCTGGGGGCCGCTGGTTTAGAGGAATCTACTAAGGGCAGTATTTTTCTAGGTACTGGTAAAATTAAAATTGCTTCTCCCTATGGGGCTAGACCATCCTTTGGTACTTTTGGTGTCAATAATACATAAAGTTCAGAGCACCCAGAGCCAGGATTCCTCAAAGGGATTTCTGTTGGTTACAATGTCAAGAAATATCCATGTGACCTGCACAGCAAACGGGCCTTGGCCAGAGGTGAGGTTCTCTGATGATATGGGCAGTGTGGTCCCTGTAGCTGTGCAGCTCCATTAGTGGCGGGGGTGGCATGAAATTCGCCCTCCACCTGCAGCCACGCCCCTCCCGCATAGGGGAAGTGGAGGAGTTTTGGCAAAGGGGGCCCAGGTCAGGGGAGTGTTTTATTATTTGGTGCAGAAATGGTGGGTCTATGGGTACCTCCAATCATAATTATTTTAGTCTTAGTTTTGACAGAAAGAGCCAAGTTTCTCAGTGATTAACTCACGATGACATGTCTATCAAAGGGCAACAAGCTGGATCTCTAAGTCCAGAGGCTTTCTGCTCACTGGTGTAAACTCTGTCTTCCCTCAGTGCTGAAGGCCATCAGGCATGTTGCAGGGGACACAGACCTCCATACAGACAGACAACAGTCATAGTCTGTTGACCCATTGGCTTCCCGAGAAAAGGGAAAATATCCCGTGGCAGGGGGGTGGGAGTGGGGTATAGGTTCTGTCGAGGAGGTTTCCTCAGGACCTCTCATAGCATGAGAATTCGTGCTCCAGCTATTACTGTTTTAATATCTCCCAGCATCTCTATATTACTTCCTCTCCAAGACTCACAGTCTGACCCCTAAGTGTCCTCAGTGCCCTTCCTCTTGGCACCCAGCTCCCAGCAACGGAGGCCTGCCCTGCAGGGTGGGTCGAATGCGGGGTCCGGCTGTGGCTGCTGTGCCGGCTCCCTAGCTGGTCTGTGGATTCCCATGGACAAAGCGCTGAGAAAATGGTCTATCAAATAACATAGTTACTATTATTTATTAATATTAATCATGTAATGATTAAGCCCTTACTCTATATGTACTAAGCATACATTACCTCATTTAATCTCCTAATAAACCGTAGGAGGTAGGTATTATTATTTCTGTTTTACAGATGAGGAAATTAAGGCTCAGAAACGTTAAGTGACCTTCCCAAGGTCCCACGGGTGCTAAGAGTTAGAGTAGACATCCAACCCCAGCTATCTCTGATTCCAAACTCTTTGCTCTCTCCATTCTGCTCTTTTCTTACTCTGTATATATCGTGTCTGTGTTGTGTTCCCTCTGACTACAGCCTGACAGTAAAAAAGATTCATAATAATACGGGTCCACATTCCATTTTCCAAAAACCTGGGGGCCAGAGAGCTTTCAGAATTCAAACTGTTTACCTGTTTAGAAAGAGGATACACAGTTCACACTTCTTACATTACACAACATCCATGGCGGGGCCTGGGGCAGGATCCTGTAATTAAACACATTAATATTCTGCAAAAAACAGAGGAGCAATCGCGTGAGGTAGTCAGCTTTGGCAACCAAATGGATCTCAACAAATCTTGGGCTTTCAGAGCTGCTTGGATTTCAACATTATGATAAGGGATTTGTGGGCATTTCTTTAGTTCTGGCCCCACTTACAGAAAGGGGGGCCCTCTCTTTGCACTGGGCACCTCCAGGAGGGACGAAGACCTCTGCGGCACCCTGGACAGCCCGCTGTGGCACCCAGGTCGTGGCAGCAGGGCCTTCTCCTCTCCTATCTGGGTTTTCTGAATGACTAGCCCCAGACGCAGAGCTGTGCCACATTATACAACATGGTTTACAGCCTGCAGCCTTGGAAGCCACCCCCTCAGCAATGCTCACCCCACACGGGCATCACAACAAGGACAGACGCTAGTGGTTGGTGATGGTTTCACAACACAACCTGGGGATGCAATCAGCTGCCGGAGAAGATGGGCAGAGAGATAGGCTGCAACCCACTGTCACAGCCTAGTCACCAGCAGAGCTTGGCGGTTTTCCCTTGGCTTTTCTACAAAGGTGGCGTTACCCACCGGATGCACCCCTGCAGCCAGTTCAAAACAGGATTCTCAGGGCCTGCCTGTGATGAGGTGCCCTGTCACTGCTCTCCTTCCTGTGCCAGAGGAGTTGAGATTTATCTGGAAGTCACCTTGGAGAAAGGAGAAAAAGAAGGAGTAACATTTATTGTTTGCTGTGTACCAGGCGCTCGGTTAGTGATGTTTTGTTCAATATCTAGTTGGATCTTTACAACAAGCCCATGAGGTTGGTGTAGAATTATTGTCTGCAATTATGCCTAGTGCACAGATGAGGAAACCGAGGCCCAGAAAGTTTACATGGTTACATAACTTGCCAGGGGCAAACTGCTCACAAGTGGAAAAGCCAAGATTCCAACTCAGGTAACTGACTCAAGAGCTACATTCTTAAATCTGACCCACGGGAGGGTGTGGGCTCTCAACACAGTCAGTCTCAACAACCTGGCTGCCTTGTCCAGGTTGCCAGGCCCCCAGCAGAGTTGTGCCCAGGAGATTCCAGATCAGGGCACATTGTCACTGGCCAAAGCCAAGCCCAGAAGCTTCTGGCCTGAAAGCTGACCAGTCCACATCCATCTGTCTGTCTCTCCCTCTCTGCCCACCCTTCCCATTTGAGGCAGGAGGATACTGTGCAGTCTCAGCCCTGCAATTCCTTTCCTACCCTGCTCCCCTCCTCATTCATCCCAGACCAACACCTTTCTTCCCTCTGCAAAGGGAGCGCTCAGCAGAAATGCAAAGACCATTCATTCACCCACTGAAAGTGTACAACTCAGTGGATTTGAGTATATTCACAGGGCTGTGCAACCATCACCACAATCTGATTTCAGAACATTTTCATCACCCGCAAAAGAAACCCTGTACACATTAGCAGCCATTCCCCATCCTCCCTTCCCCCAGCCTAATCAACTAATAATCTACTTTCTGTCTCTATTGTATAAATTTACCTCTTCTGGATTTTTCCTATAATTGGAATATGACGTGTTCTTCTGGGACTGGCATCTTTGACTTACCATGATGCTTTCAAGGTTCATTATGTTGTAGCACGTATCAGTACTTCATTTCTTTTTATTTTTTTAATTTTAATTTTATTATTATTATTATTATTTTGGCCATGCCGTGCTGCGTGTGGGACCTTAGTTCCCCAACCAGGGATAGAACCCACGTCCCATGCAGTGGAAGTATAGAGTCTTAACCACTGACCACCAGGGAAGTTCCACTTCATTTCTTTTTATAACCAAATAATACTTCTTTGCATGGATATACGGCATTTTATTTATCCATCCATCAGTTGATAGACATTTGGGTTGATTGATTCCACTCTCTGGCTATTATGAATAATGCTGCTATGAACATTCATTTAAAGGTTTTTCGTGTGAACATGTTTTCATTTCTCTTGGGTGTATACCTATGAGTGGAATTGCCAGGTCATAAGGTAATGCTATATTTAACTTTTGAGGAACTGCTAAACTGTTTTCGAAAGTGGCTGCACCATTTTACATTTCTACCCAGCAATGTATGAGGGTTCCAATTTCTCCACTTCTTTGTCATCCTTTGTTATTATCTGTCCTTTTGATTATAGCCGTCCTAGTGGGTATAAGGTGGTCTCTCGTGGTAGCTTTGATTTGCTTTTCCCTTATAACTAGTGATGCATCTTTTCATGTGCTCATTGGCCACTTGTATAGAAATATCTATTCAAATCCTTTGCCCATTTTTTTTTAATTTTTAAATTCAATTTTATTTTTTTATACAGCAGCTTCTTATTAGTCATCCATTTTATACATATCAGTGTATACATGTCAATCCCAATCGCCCAATTCAGCACACCACCATCCCCCTCCCCGCCCCGCCCCGCTGCTTTCCCCTCTTGGTGTCCATACATTTGTTCTCTACATCTGTGTCTCAACTTCTGCCCTGCAAACCGGTTCATCTGTATCATTTTTCTAGGTTCCACATATATGCGTTAATATACGATATTTATTTTTCTCTTTCTGACTTACCTCACTCTGTATGACAGTCTCTAGATCCATCCACGTCTCAACAAATGACCCAATTTCGTTCCTTTTTATGGCTGAGTAATATTCCATTGTATATATGTACCACAACTTTTTTATCCATTTGTCTGTGGATGGGCATTTAGGTTGTTTCCATGACCTGGCTATTGTAAATGGTGCTGCAATGAACATTGGGGTGCATGTGTCTTTTTGAATTATGCTTTTCTGTGGGTATATGCCCAGGAGTAGGATTGCTGAGTCATATGGTAATTCTATTTTTAGTTTTTTAAGGAACCTCCATACTGTTCTCCATTGTGGCTGTATCAATTTACATTCCCACCAACAGTGCAAGAGGGTTCCCTTTTCTCCACACCCTCTCCAGCATTTGTTGCTTGTAGATTTTCTGATAATGCCCATTCTAACTGGTGTGAGGAGATACCTCATTGTAGTTTTGATTTGCATTTCTCTAATAATTAGTGATGTTGAGCAGCTTTTTATGTGTTTCTTGGCCATCTGTGTGTCTTCTTTGGAGAAATGTCTATTTAGGTCTTCTGC